ACTTAGCTGAAATACTAAAAATATAAGACTCAATGCAGAAAATTTGAAATAATAAACAGAAGCTGATTTATAATTTCTTGTTATTCCACAAATCCGCATCGATCCCATTATTTTCTGTTTTATGTTATAAAACAAATTACCAATGAATCGAAACAGATTTCCGATACGCACCCACGCAGCACCTCATTAATTCCTAGAGCTAATTGCCTGTCGGTACATTACATTTGTGTTTTTATAGAACTTACGCTAAAAATAAACAAACATCGATCGAATCAACAGATATATCATTTATTGCTTTTTCCCCTTTTATATTTGTATGTGCTCGACAAACTTTATACAATTGGCAGAATACACGGTAATTATTTAAATTGAACTGAACTTTGATTGGAATCTAAATCTATATATTCCCTTTATTCATTTTGCAGTGTTCCTTTATACCAAAATTAAATGTTCTAATCAAGACCAAATATGAGAATAACAACGGCAGCACAGAGAATGTGAGTGGCATTACCTTAACTTAAGCGAATTTGTATATGGGCATATATATATGTTTTTATCTAGTGCCTGGATCTGTCCGAGGAAGAGTTGAAGGTTCGCATTGTGGATCATGTGGACATTGCATTTGATGAGCTAACGGGCAAGCACTACAAACGCGAAGAGGATCCAAAGTTCTTCAAGTCAGAAAAGACAAGTTAGTTCATCTCATTTGCTGAATTCAATTATTATTTCTTACCATTGTCTATTGCCTTTGCAGATCGTGGTCCACTGATTGAGGGCTGGCGTGAAACAGATTCCCCTATTATGTGCTCCTACAAGGTTGTCCATGCCAGCTTCGAGGTCTGGGGCCTGCAAACCAAAGTGGAAGACTTCATCCAGCGCGGCATTCGGGATATTTTGCTGCTGGGACATCGCCAGGCGTTTGCCTGGCTGGACGAGTGGTACGGCATGACGCTGGAGGATGTGCGCATCTATGAGCGACAAAAGCAGGCCGAGACCAATGAGAAAGTTCAACAGAATATCAATCCACAGCCAGCTAAGGAGACTGAGATCATGTCTCCAGAAAATGTCGAATCTTAGATCCTATTTCTTCATACAAATGACACCTATATTGAACTATTTGTGAATGGTATACCAAAATGGGAAAGTTTTAGCTATTAGCTCAATAAGACATCGTTATGCGAGCTTACAAATTTCTCAAGTCATAGTCGTAAGAATATAAAACGCATTTCAAATGGTCCAAAAAAGCACAAAATACACAAACTAATAACACTATAGAAACCTAAAAGATGGAGACAGCAGCACTATACTATATAGAAATTTATATATTGTTTATGATGTGAATAGGGGTAGATTTTGATGTTTGCTCAAAATGGTTTTTGTTAACTATATTCCTTAGTTATTTTCGATTTCGCTTTAGAATTACGAACGCGCTGTTGACTACAAAATGTACAAATAAACAATAAACATAAAACTACAAATGCAACTTGTCCAAGTAGCATAGGAGTATAGGTAAATAGAGTTTGATTGCTTTAGTTAAACCAGATTAGATCAGAGCGATGTCCATTTGCAAGCTAAAGACATTATGCACAAACACAATTCGTTATAAATTGAACTTTTTATAGACAAGCAGTTATTTTGGCCAGGCAAAGCCGAAAAATTAAAGCAATTAGTATGCGTGCGCCGTAGGCTATAAATTTACGTATAGACGTATAGTAGTAAACAATTGTCTATGAGCAATCAGCTGATCGGAATGATGCTGCTCTCGGCTATATGAATACTAACACACACACACACACACTGGCAGCTCCAGCTACTTATGATAGCAACCGTATTTTATAGCAACAATAAAAACTCTCGCTCTCTCTCGCTCGCACATTTGGCTCACACTGCGGTCTCCCAACAGCTGATGGATGAGATCGCAGCGATGCCGCCAAAAAACAAATAAAGCACAGCACACAAAAAATATGTCAGCGTTTCGCATTTGCGCCTCATTTGAACTTCAAACGCGAGAAAAGTAGCACAGAGCGCGCGAGAGATACGGATGCCGCACAGTGATTAAAAAAGTAAACCGCAACAGCCCAGGCAGATTTAGAACATGTATTAAACATATGGAAACATACACTGTTATCTACTGTATGGAAATATACACAAATCTGTTGCAATTCGCGTTGTCGCCACAGAAGACATGTACACTCCGTTGAACATCGCGAAGTTTACACGTGTTCCCGCAGAGTTCGCATCGACTACGTACCTGAGCTTGTGCCTGTGACTTCACTGTGTTCAGTGGCAATGAGCTATCAAAGCACATTCATTAATGAAAATTCATTTGCGTTTACTCTTCTGCTGCTCTTGGCTATTTTTGGCAGGTATTAATCCAAAAAAATTTAATAAAAAACAAAGAAATATATTTGCTTATAGGCAAAGTGAGCTCGGCGCGTTTACACGGCGTATGCGCAATATTTGACGTATCCGTTGTAATATGAAGAAAATCTGTGAGCCTTTTGCACTGTGTGTTTTACTAGAGAGAGCTGCATGTGTGCCCGTGTCAATATTTAACTGTTTCATAAATCAAACCGTTTACATTCTGTGCTCTGTTTATCTACGCAAAGCAGCGTCAAATGCGGCTTATCGTGAATCCTCTTTTACATGTATTTAACAAGAGTACCTGTAGATTAAGTTGTTGTTTACACATGTATATAGTGTTTAAGGCAGTGTAAGGGACACTATGACTCTTTCACATAACTGAAAGATATATCAAATATTTATCGATCAATATTATATAACCTTTATATACATTATATATTCAATCATCTTTTTAACCAAAAACACTGAGACCTTGCATTTTAATTCTCAACATCCATTTAATAGATGATAATTGTAGATAATAGATTATTTGTTCTTAACAAATTTAAACGAAATTGTGTTTTAAAATTTGTATATACAAAAATGTTTTTCTTAGAAAATAATCTTAATATATACTTAAAGGTAAATAACATAAATGGGATCAGACCGGCATTTAGTACAATCAGTCTCCATCTCTCAGTTTCACTCCCATTCTCACTCCCATAAAGATATTGAGATACAGATTCTCCAACAGCCAGTCTGTTTATCTTGTATTTCCTAACTATAAAATTTTAAATCATTTTTATTATTTTATTATTCAGTTTTAAAAACTACCTATGAAGTTCAGTCTTAATGGGTTTTTCGATGTCTTGGCAACACCAAAGTTTCATTAATCTTACCAAGCTAAGTGTGTTGGGTTATTTATGCTTCTCTCTTGAGATTTCTGCCTTCTGCTTTGTCATATTCGCCGTAAGCAATTCGAACTATCTTGCTTCTGTGCGAGCTGGCATAATAGATAATAGATCTCTGGTTCGTGTTCATTTGATTTGAGGTATATGCTTAAATTATCTTAGCGTTTGGTCTATTTTAAGACTACGAAAATAAAACCTTAACATATGACGGACAGATAAATATCATTAAATATACAAACAATATTTACTTACATTCTATATTTAAATTGCCATACTCTGTAAATAGTTGTATAGAGTAGAAGAGG